TTTTTTTTTAAATATGTTTAATTAAACTTTTTATAATTTAATAATTTGTAGAAAGTATATGGTGAAGTTGTATAAAGATGAAATATTTATGTGATATATTCAATTTTATAGATGTTAATGAATTGTGGAATAACTAATTTCTATAAAAGTTAATACTTTAGTTGCTTGTTTTCAATATCAAAGAATGATTAAACCAATGTTGTAAAAATGTTTGATGTTAGGTAGTCCGTGGATTGAAGTTAAACGATTAATCGGTTAGACGGAGATTAACCGGATGATTAAACTAGGACGATAAATTGCTAATTCGTTGAATTTAAAAAAAAATTAATATGACTAATATAATAACAAAGTTTTTAAATACCGTTAATATAATAACAAAATAGGTTAATATTATTAATACAACTATAATCATTCCTTAAATAGTTCTATCGAGATAGACTTATTCTTAGTGTTAGAATTTCATCATTTGTAGTTGCTTTGCTCATTTTGTAGGCATAGATTGATCGTTAGACGTATATATCCTACTCGGTTAGGTAGCGCCTAGCGACTAATCGAAGATTAATCGGGACCTAATCATGATTTTTATAACACCGGATTAAACTAATATTTCATTCTAAACTCTCTTGATCATAGAATGCGTCAAAAGAAATGATGAGTGGGACTGTACACTTGTACATATAGAATTCAGAATGTTACATAAAAAGTCTTCTTTTGTTCGGCTCACTGTCACTTTATAACTTGGCCAACTCCACTATTATTCATCTCCTTATATTTTATATAAGACCTAATCAAAGACGAATCCAACACCATAAACAGAAACTTTCCAGATATCGATCCACCATGAGTTGCACTAACCCTACTTGCTTCTTCTGTACCATGAAAGAGCCAAACATATTAATCAGGAGAGCAGGAATCAAGAAATGCTTCAAAGAAATGCTAACAATCAGCGAGCAAGAGCGTGTGCTTATTCTAAGCAGTCTATGGAACATCGCCATGACTCAACCCGAGGATCCAGAGTTTCCATCCCTAGGTATATTCAAATGCATGGTTACCTTGCTCGATAAGAGCATCAGCGACCGAGCTTGGCTTCTTGATGGCCAAAACGTATATATACCATATTATGCAGTCCATATTGTAGGATCATACACCATGAACAGATTTGAGTTTGCAGAAAAAGCTGTGGACTCTGGTATTATTCCGCCATTGTTGGATCTTATGAGAGGAAAGATGAGTTGGTTGGAGCAAAGGGTTGCAGTTAGAGCTCTTGGACACCTAGCAAGCTATGATGGTACTTTTGAAGCCTTGGCGGTTTATGAAGAAGAGGTAGTGAAGCTAACCATGGGTCTAGCATCTAGCTGTGGTGAGGTAGTTTATAACGAGTTTGTGGCTGGTAATGACGCAAACGAGAGGGTCAAATATCACAAAAACTTGATCACTAGAGGAGTTGGAGGATTAGAGACGGAGAACAGAAAGGCTGAGGAATGGGCTAGCCAAATCCAGTGCTGGTCTCTACACCTACTAAATTGCTTTGCCATTAGAGGTAGGTCCATTGATGTTATATGTAATAAAGAGTTCTTGAAGGAGTTAAGTTCCATGTGGGGTGGGCTTGTGAATCACACATCACCTGCTGGTGTCGGGTTAATAAGGATCTTGTGTTATACCCCAGTCGGAAGAACAAGAATTTCAGAATCCAAAGAGGTTATCGAAAGTATCTGTAACCTCTCAAGATCTTCGGATGATTGGCAGTATATGGCGATCGATTGTCTTTTGTTACTTCTTCATGACCTGAACACGAGGTACAAAGTTCTTGAAATCGCATCAGTTTATTTGTTTGATTTGATTGAGCTCCGGGAACTAGGAGAAAGGTCAAAAATAGGCCAGAAAATCACAAGAGCACTGCTCACTGACTTCAAGAATGGGAAATCAAGAATCAAGAATCCTGAAGTTGAAAGAATATTAAAAGAAATATGGGTTTTTAAAGTCGATAAGAACAAGAAAGAGAGATTGATGTCTGATGAGACACTAGAGGAGAAAAGAGTCCTGGTGAGTCTGATAAAACAACAAGCGAATCATAGCTTTTGGTTAGGAGATATAGACACCGCGGTTGTGAAATACACAGAAGGTGTAAAATTATGTCCACTAAAACTAAAGAAAGAGAGGATTGTACTTCACAGTAATAGAGCTCAGTGTTATTTACTGCTTAATAATCCAGATGCCGCCATTAGTGATGCTACCAGAGCTCTTTCAATCTCAAACCCTGTCAATTCTCATGCCAAAAGCCTGTGGAGAAGATCACAGGCTTACTACATGAAAGGGTTGTCAAAAGAAAGCTTGATGGACTGTTTGATGTTCATCAATTTCGTTACTGCCGACAAGAAAAAACATGCCAAAATCCCTTACTATGCAGTGCATATGATCAAGAAACTGATGGATTCTACATGGTTTTTCGCGTCCGCCAAATCAAAATTATCAAACAATGGGAGCTCATCTAGCGATCCTGGAAGAAGCAAGGAAGAACTCACAAGCGATGAACGGCTGATGTCAGGTAAGACTTACATATCTAACCTTCTCTGACTTTTGTCTCATCACGTGTGTGTATATGGTCATCCGGAATCATAGTTTGCCTTTTCTACTTCTTTTCTTCTTTTCTATCAAAATCAAATGAATTCGCCAAAAACAAGATATGTTAAATTTTGTTGGTCAAATGAGCCAATATATATTGGACATGAAAACTGAAATGATTTCTGAAACTTCCGAGCATTTATAGCAATCAAAAGTACACAACCAGTTATAAGAATCAATACAAAATAAACTAATATTCACATAAACCTTGAGAAAACACACACATGAGTAGTTATACATACCTGATTACCTGTAGTATGTTTGACATTAGAACTTAGAAGTGAAGGGTATATATATTATATATATGGTTTTTATTTCAAATACAATTAATACATGTTTAAAGCAGAACAATATATCATGCGGAAAACTTTGTCTTCGAACTTTTTGCAGGGTTATATACCATTTTAGAAGACCCGGTGATCAGAAAAGATGGAGATGCTACCAGGAGAAAGGTTCATGGATATGGAAATACAAAGAAATATTCCATGGCTGAATCAATATAACAAATATTTAGGTATGTATAAGCAGTTTAATTAGAAAACAACTGTTGTACCTTCTTTTAGTTTCTCGTTAATTAATTATATATTATATACTGTACTGGTAGTTAGCATCAAATACTATTTATAAATTTAACAGTATTTTATGATCAACCTGAGGTTTTTTTTCTTCTCCTCCCATCACTATTCATATGTGCATGCATGTGAAGGTAGTGACAAGAGAGGACCACAAATCCATATTAGTAGATAAAATACTAACACGGCTTGAATATTCATTTTGTTTAAATGGGCATATTATGTTCTAATTGAACTTTTATACGACTTTATTTAGATCCTGTACAATTCCCAGAAAACCGCACCCAAGTTGTGTTGATATACAGTTCATGATCCACCAAGTAATTTAAAATCTCCGAAGTGAACAGATCTCTTAATCTTTATGGAAAAGGACACAACAATGGTACGTATAGTAGACTAGCTAAGCTAGTCGAGTTGATTTTGGTTTTGGGTTGCGAGTTGCGACTAAAACCCTGTTGAGTTAAAGTTGGGTTAACGTTATTTCGGCTAGAACAGCGCCATGACGACCTAATATTTCTCCTACTCAGGGCCATTACACACATCTTAAGTTTTCTGATCGCCAGCAGTTAAAGTCTTCTATGAATATCAAACATCAGAACCTTACTCTTTTTGCCAGAAAAGAACCAGTTTTCTAATTTAAAGATTCAAACAAATACTTCTTCAACTCAAAATTTACAGAACTTTTTTAATCTTTTCGATAGATCATACGTAAGAAATGAAACTTATTATCGACACCTGGAATTGAAATATGGAGGATATGATGGAGGTGGAGCAACTCTTTTTGACTTTTGAGTATTAAGGGAGTGTATATATACTGTGCTACCTCAAAAGCTTCAAAGGCGGAAACAATGGTGGGCTAGGATTTGGTAGATTGGCACCATGATACTTCAATTGGAAGAAAGAAATGACCTTTTCTGTGTTCTTTATAGGTAAACCTAATCCTAGGCTTAGGCTTTGCATCATGACAAAGGGACAAATGATGCTATCAAATAACAAAATGTCACATATAAACTTTTGTAACTTTGTTTTATAAGATAATTTAAATTTCTAGTATTTTTTTTTCTAAATCTTTCTATTCGTTAGTGTTAAAATTAAGAAAAATATAAAAAAAAATTAATGGATTCCACGTGTCATTATTTTATAGGAGTAGAAAGATAAATATTAATAAAAGTTCGAAAGATATTTAATTTTTGTTGTTTTAAATTAATGTGAAAAGAATTATTAGTTGTTAACTAAAAACTGAGTGCCTTTCAACTAAGCGTATTAGGTCACTACTAGAAAACTAGGGCAATAGCTACGGCACAATCCGTAGATATAAGGCAATAACTACGGATTTTGCTACGGAAAATGGCCTGTAGCATAAATGCCCGTGGGAAATTTGTACCTACAGATTTGCTACGGACTAGCTACGGAATAGCTACGACCAATTCCGTAGGTATAATACCTACAGATTAGCTACGGAAACGAATTGCTACGGAATGCCTACGGATTACTGACGGGAGTCGAGTTTGACTAAAGTTGACTAGTTTCCTACGGAATAGCTACGGAAATACATAGCTACAGATTTGTTACGGATTACTGACGGAGCCCACTTTGACTAACATTGACTTTATCACCTACGGATTTCCTACGGCTCACATTACCTACGGATTTTCCGTAGGTAATCCGTAGGTAATTACTTTTTATTTAAAAAAAACAGCAGAAAATTATAAAAAATCCAGTTTTTTTTGTCCAAAATATTAAAAAAAAACATTACATTAAACTTATAATAATATTGAAATTCAACCACAAAACAAATAACCTTACAATAAAACTAATAAACCTAAAAAAATATCAAATACAAATACATATTACTAACATTGACTAATACTACATTAAATGTATCTAATAATACACATTAAAAGTGTCAACCACAAATGTTTAACTAAGTGTTTACAAACATAAAACTAAGAATTATTTTGGTGGATTACTCGGCAATTTACCGGGTGAGTTGAGTCGAGTCAATAAAGGCCGACCCGTGTTCTTCAATTTGAGTTTTGAATCAAATGCCGCCAATTGTTCCTGTTTAAAACACCATAATCAATGATCACAAAAAAATACAAACATAGCAATGTACTTTCAAGTATTTGTTTATTATGCCATAATTAGGAACATTTTTGAAAGTACAACGCTATAAGTAAGACAAAATGAAAGTAGGATGTTATAATAAGCATGTATATCTTGCATTTAACTAGCTCAAAAATTAAAACACATTCCTTCTAATTATCATGTTGTTGAATCACTACAATAACCGACTCATTAAAAACCATAATTTGAAACTAAAAAAACATAATTTTAAACTAAAAATACATTTTACTAACCAAAAACATTACATTAAAAACCACATTACAAATTGTAAATACAAATTGCCAATAAGGTTAGGTACACTATCAAATTGACAATCATTAACCTATCAAATGAAAGATACATAGATTCATTAAATTAAGCAGTTTTGAAGTCTTGTTTACCATTTACATTAGTTCATCAATTAGAATACCTGGATAGATGGATAGTTCTACAAGTATTCTTTGGTGTAGTTATTTGAAGTAGCAAAGAGAATTAGAATCCATGATATGAATAGTGAATGCTCTAATTTCCATCATTAATAAGAAAAAAAGGTTCAAATCCATGACACGGACAAAATGACTTGTTTTTACAACATTTGACATAATAACTAGAGTTTAAAGTAGAATCTCTCTTTCCAAACAGATAGTTTACATAGGGGAACTTTTATCAAACACATGGTGTGCACTGCATTATTCTGAAAATAAGGAAATTTGTGAGAGCAATAAACTTACGTTGGCAAACCCTTCAAGCTTTTATCTTACAGACAGATTGTCCCCGAAAAGCCTTGAAGTTTAAAGACTTGAAGAACCTAAAGAACATGCTGGAAACCAGTAACATTCTAAAGCTCCAATTACATTAAAATTTGATAATAGAGATAGTTGAACAATATTCACCTCAATTTTGTTGTCATAGATGAAATTCAGTATACAAACCTGAAAATTACCATTTCAAAAAAATATATACATAGAAATAGATAACAAAATAAATCTAGGGTTTCACCTTTGTTGGAGAAGAAATCGACCAAAGAGAAGAATGTCGGAGGAGGTGTGCTCCCGGAGACAATCGACCGACGGAGGATGCGCCTTGTGGAGAAGAAACGGACGTCGGAGAAGGAAGGAAGGAACGTCGAGCAGCAGAGCAGCGAAGAAGAAATCGACGGGAAAGTACGGAGCACCGAGGAGATGCGATGGCGATGGCGCTTCGGCAGCAGCGTCAACGAGAAGCGACGGGATGGAGCACCGGCGTCGGAAAAATGCAGGAGGCGTCGGCGGGAGAGTCACGAGAGCAGATACAACGTGAGGATAGAGGCAGAAGACGCGTATAAGGGTTTACACGCGTATAAGGTTTCCTACAGCGAAGCTACGGACAAAAAAATGGTTACCGGGGGGTTCGAACTCGCGTTTAATAGATTCGTAACCCACATACTTACCACACTGCCGGGTATGCCCCTTCCATTCTCAATTGGGTTCCAATTAGTTTTATCTTCTTAATCGAAAATAAAGAAAAAAGGGTTTGGGGTAGGAATCGAACTAGGGTCTCACGCGCAATTAACCATGCTAATTACCATCCGGCCGGGAATGCCTCATCCGATTTTGTTGCGTGTGCTATTACCTTTACACACTTTCAATTTTCTTATTATATTATTATTATTATATTACTATATTTAATAATTATTACTATTATATTTTTCAAACTTAAAACTTTTTTTGGAAAATTTAAAACACAAACAATTTAAAAAATAATACTAACAGTACTAGTAATAATAATATTTATAAAAATAATGATAATATATATTAATGGTAACGAATGTGTTTAACACACAAATAAACGAACAATCGAAAAAAAACTACACTTAACACATCAATAATAAGTATTTAATATATACTACCCCAAAACGCGAAATAACTGTTTAACATACAAAGAAACGAACAATAAAAAAAAAAGAACTACATTTAACACATCAACAGGGTGAAATAATTTACGTTTAATGTATAAATTAAATAATGAAAAAAGATGATAATTAGGGGAAATATGTATATTTGTATAGGTATGTATGTGTATGTATGTATTTATTTATGTATATTTATGTATATGTATGTGTGTGATTATGTATATGTATGTGTGTATGCGTGTGATATATATATATATATATCGTATATATAGATATCTATAATATATATATTCTTATATATTATGTGTGTGTGTATGTGTGTATTTGAATGTGTATGTGTATGTGTGTGTATATGTATGTGTATGTTTATGTGTGTATGTGTATGTGTATGTATATGTTTATGTGTGTATGTGTATGTGTATGTATGTGTATATGTGTGTATGTGTATGTGTATGTGTATGTATGTGTATATGTATATGTATGTGTGTATGTGTGTATATGTATGTATATGTGTGTATTTGAATGCGTATATGTATGTGTATGTTTATGTGTGTATGTGTATGTGTATGTATGTGTGCATGTGTATGTGTATGTGTATGTATGTATATCTGTATATATATGTATATGTATGTGTGTCGCGTGTATCGTCTGTGTCTGTGTGTCTTTGCCTGCGTCTGTGCCCTGACTTTCTGAATGATATTCCTCGCTCTCCGTTGGTGAACCCTCTCGATCTCCTGTATCCTAATGGTGATGCTGGTGATGCTGATGCTGGTGGTGGTGGTGGTGGTGGTGCGTGATGCTGCTGCGATGGCTGATGATGGTGCTGATGATGGTGATGATGGTGCTGATGTGATGATGGTGGTGGTGGTGGTGGTGGTGGTGCTGCTGGTGATGCCTGATGGTGCTGATGGTGATGATGCTGATGATGGTGGTGGGGTGGTGCTGATGCTGCTGGTGCTGCTGCTGGTGATGCTGGTGACTGCTGCTGATGGGGTGGTGGTGGTGGTGGTGCTGCTGCTGCTGGTGCTGCTGCGATGCTGCGTGATGGTGGGTGGTGGTGGGTGCTGCTGCTGCTGATTGTGCTGATGCTGCTGCTGGTGCTGCTGGTGCTGCTGGCTGCGGCTGGTGCTGATGCTGGTGGTGGTGCTGCTGATGCTGGTGTGGTCGTGGGGTTGGGGTCGTGGTGGTGGTGGTGCGCTGCTGATGCTGCTGCGATGCTGCTGACGATGATCACGATGATGATGATGGTGATGGTGATGGTGGTGGTGGTGATGATGGTGATGATGATGATGGTGGTGATGGTGATGATGGTGATGATGGTGGTGGTGGTTGTGGTGATGATGATGATCATGATGATCATGATCATGATCATGATGATGATGACGGTGGTGGTGATGGTGATGATGGTGATGATGATGATGATGATTATGATGATGATGATGATGGTGGTGATGATGGTGATGATGATGATGATGATGATGTATATGAGTTTGTGAGATGTATGTGAACGTATTGATAAGCATTATAGTGTTAAACCACTAAACGAGCAATGGATCCCGTATGTGCACCGGCTTTCTAAATGATATTAATAGCTATAAATTGGTGAAAATATAGATAATCTTGTATAATAGAGGTGTGAAAAAAACGGAGCGAAAAAAACGACGTTTGGTGCCCGAAAAATCGAAAATAAGAAAAATCCGTAGCTAATTAGCTACGAAATAGCTACGGAATTCTAACGGATAGCATATTCCGTAGCTAATCCGTAGGTAATTACCTACGGATTAGCTACCGAATATGCTATCTGTTAGAATTCCGTAGTTATTCCGTAGCTAATTAGCTACGGATTTGCTACGGATTTTTCTTATTTTTGATTTTTCGGGCACCAAACGTCGTTTTTTTTGCTCCGTTTTTTTCACACCTCTATTATACATGATTATCTATATTTTCACCAATTTATAGCTATTAATATCATTTATAAAGCCGTGTGCACATACGGGATCCATTGCTCGTTTAGTGGTTTAACACTATAATGCTTATCAATACGTTCACATACATCTCACAAACACGTATACATACACATATACACGTACACGTATACCACAACTCATTCATGTATATAAATATACATATAAAAACATAATCCATCACAAGTTGCTGAAAAGTATAGGCATTACAATGTTAAACTGTGAAACGAGTACTTGATCCCGAAGGGGCACACGACTTTATGAATGATATTAATAGCTATAGGTTGGTGAAAATATAGATAATCATGTATAGTAGAGGTGTGAAAAAAACGAAGCGAAAAAAACGACGTTTGGTGCCCGAAAAATCGAAAATAAGAAAAATCTGTAGCTTCTTAGCTACGGTTTTTTCTTATTTTTGATTTTTCGGGCACCAAACTTCGTTTTTTTCGCTCCGTTTTTTTCACACCTCTATTATACATGATTATCTATATTTTCACCAATTTATATCTATTAATATCATTTATAAAGTCGTGTGCACTACGGGATCCATTGCTCGTTTAATGGTTTAACACTATAATGCTTATGAATACGTACACATACATCTCACAAACACGTATACATACACATATACACGTACATATATAACACAACTCATTCATGTATATAAATATACATATACAAACATAATCCATCACAAGTTGGTGAAAAGTATATGCATTACAATATTAAACTGTGAAACGAGTACTTGATCCCGAAGGGGCACACGACTTTATGAACGATATTAATAGCTACAAGTTGGTGAAAATAAAGATAATCATGTATAGTAGAGGTGTGAAAAAAACGAAGCAAAAAAAACGACGTTTGGTGCCCAAAAAATTGAAAATAAGAAAATTTTGTAGCTAATATGTAGCTACTTAGCTACGGATTAGCTACGGAATTCTAACGGAAAGCATACTCCGTAGCTAATCCGTAGGTAATAAGTATCCATAGGTATTCCGTAGCCATTCCGTAGCTAATTAGCTACGGAATAGCTACGGATTTTGCATTTGTAGCTATTCTGTAGCTAGTTAGCTACGAAATAGCTACGGACCCGCATCCGTAGCTATTCTGTAGCTATTCCGTAGCTATTCCTTTACTAAACTAGGGCATCCCATTCTGTAGCTGATCCGTAGCAATTCCGTAGCTAATTAGCTACGGAAATTTTCCGTAGGAAAACGCCATGTTTTCTAGTAGTGGGTGTGTTGATAATGTCTCTCCAAATGATCGAATGTTCAAGTGATCTTGCGGTGGGCAAAAGTGTAGATTTAAGAGCATGATTAAATGTGTGTACGTGTCTCTAAATATTATTAAAAGAGAAACCTTATGACATTATCTTAAATAATATGGGCCGTTGATTGTATTTCAATTCTATGTTTTTCACCCTTAGCTAATTGTCAAAAAAAATTAACTTGCATCCATTGAAATTGAATTTATTTAATTCTAATAAAAGTTTCTCATATTTTAAATCTTGAATTTCCGGTTATAAAAGTTTTAATATGGTCAACTTTAAAAACATATTACTAACAGACCAATTCAATTAAGGCATTAATATCAACCATTAATATAAATCCGTTTATATTAATAAACCATTAATATAAAACCCATTTTTATTAGGAAAACCATTAATACCAAAAAATCAGATTCAAATTATCACATACATATACGATTCATCCTTGAATCCGCGACTCACACTTATTCTCAATCGTTGCTTTTCTTCAAACATTCTCCCACAACATCATTCTCATTGCTGATAACTTCCATCATCATTCTCCGTTGCAATTTTTCGTTGTTGTGCACTAGAAGGTCAGTACCTTCTTTCACTTTTTATATTTTTTTCGATTATTTTTTTGTTCCTATATCAAATATATGTCTTCATATATTTCGATTTTCTTTGTCACAAATTACATGAAATCGTTTAACTATTTTTCTGAAACTTTTCAAATAAACAGAAAAAATATATTGCGTACCTTTAACAAAACAGAAATTAACTATCTTTGGAATTGACACTAATTACGAAAATATTATTTTTATATATTATAGATGATTATGATTTTTTTTAAATATTATGTCATAAGAATCCGGTTAATTTTGGTATGATTTTAAAATATTTTGGCATGATCTTATTACACTTTTAGGTTGATTTAATAGGAAATAATATATAATCTATTTATGCATCCTTTGAAACTAAGTATAGAAACAATTTTGTTGACATCTATAATATATTTCATACCTCTTTATAAATCATACCTCTTTATAGATAAATACAGTGTATACATTCCTTTTATTTTATATAAAAGTTCTTTCTAATTCTAATTGTTTTCTCTTTCATTTTACACTCATGGCACAAAACACTACTAGAAAAAGGGCTTTCCTTGACAGACAAATTACGACGGGCATTAGTTTTATGACAGGCCCAAAAAAGTCTGTCATAAAAAGTCTGTCATATTTCGTAAAATATCAATGATTTGCATTAGTTAATAATGTCTGTCATGAATTTATTCGTTAATGTCTAAAAGTTAAAAAAAAAAAAAAGACACACAATATGTTTTAATGTATAAATTAATTTTTCTATTAGTTAATTTATTTAACAGTTTTACTAAGAAAATATACATAAATATTTTCAGTATAACTTCTAGTACCTAAAGTACCCCTTCATCTTTTCTTGGTATTATTCTTGATCCCCGGAAATATTTTATATTCAATAAATAACTAAAATAATTAAAATAATATACTAATTATGAAAAAATCGATAAAAGAAAGTCGTGATTTAACTCACCACATTTGTCTCCAAAATAACATACATGTCCTGATTTGTTTTTTATTTCTCAAATTTGCCCTCTGTGGTGTTATTTCCTAAAAGCCCTACCCTGTTCTTTCAAAATCGTCAACACCACGAAAATCAAACGAAGAGCAAACATCGATCGATTAGGGTCGATGCGCTCAAAAAATTGACTCGTCGAAGCGCGATATCTCAATCATCATCGTTTCAGTCATCGTCCACCCTCACCAGATCGTAAAACACTTCATCTCTATTTTCGTCATTGTTCACCAATCTCCGACACGCTACAGATCACGCCATCGCCTTCGTTGCTTTTACATCGATTCGTGACCGGTGCCATATATTCACTTCTTTTACTTCGTTTCCTCCACTATCACTAGCAGGATCGTATCACTCTGTTCTTGATCCACGTTTCTAGAAGCTCGGACAGAGCCTAATCAAACATGGCACAAGGTATTCTCTCTCTCTCTCTCTAAACTTCATTTGTTCGCATTTCAATCAGGTGCAATTTGAGTACTTGTATTCAATTGATGAATTTGCAAATCAAGACGAGTTTTCATTGCCACACTTTGTAAATTTCACAACTTTGAGATTTAAATTCTATAAACGTTTGAGTTGTTACTAAATGTTTTACTAAGTGGTGTTGGGAAGATTTTTAAATGTGGATCGAGTGAATCCAGTAGTATCTCGGTCTGTGATGAAGCAATGGATAATTTTTCATCTCTGATTACTCAGAAAACTCATATTGATATGAGCAATAGCAGAGCTAGATTGGAGATACTCCTTAATTTCGTTAATGTGGATATTAGTTACTACTAACACATACTTCGTTTTGGAATATGCAATTAGTGTTTTTACTTATTAGCTTTCCTAATTTAAGGCAACCTGACATTCATTTCTTACATATTATGGATTTGGAGTAGTCAATTCAAAGGTGAAGATAATCCATGTGACTGGAATAAGTGACATGGATCCTTAGTTCCTTACAAATGGTCTAAATCAAAATGGAGATGCGTAATGGTACTTTACATGCCAACCTCATATAAAGAAACTGGTATTATTATTTTATACTTTCATTCTTTAAATTTCAAACCCATTTCAACAGGTGAGGTGGGATGAAGATGTTGGTAACAACAATCAAGAAGGAATCTATCCATGAGAGATTGATCTTTCGGGCGTATCTGTCCTACTTTTAAGCATTCACCCTTCTCTAAGATTCAAAAAACTTTGGTCCTCTGCAACTGACACAGGTCCTCTGCAACATTAAAACCAATATTAAAATTAGTGTAAAATGTTTTAATCATAAGAAGTAGGTTTTTGCAACTGACACAGGTCCTCTGCAACATTCAAGTCTTTACAAAAGTGATGCCTTCTCTTTTTGCTCCAAATTTTGAAGACTTCTTTATAAACACTTCAGATGCATTGAGATCCTTTCTTCCGTTGCTACAGATGAATCAATCTCAGTTATCTTTCAAGAATTGCAGGTAGTTTTATTAATATATTTTAAAAAAGATTGGATTGAATATATTATTTATTAGCTTTAAAACCATTTATAGGATTATGTGAGAG